GGCGGCGCCGCGCGACTTCTGGCGGTTCCTCGAAAGCGAGCCGGCGGCGCGCGCGCGCGCGCTCGCGTGCGCCGCGGCCGCGGGGCTGCGGCTCGGCGGCGCCGCGACGCGCGACGCGCGCGTGGCGGGCTGGGCGGCGCTGGACTGGGGCGCCCCGCCCGTCGGCGACGCGCTCGCCTTCGCGCTCGTCTTCTCCCGGTGCAGTGGTGTTGTGGATGCCACTGTGGTCCGCGCGCTCTGGGACCGGCTGCGCGCGGCGGCGCCGACGCTCGCGGGCGACGACGCCTGGGACGCCGGGGACGCGGGCCGCGCCTTCGCGGATCTGCTCGTCGCCGCGGCGTCCGCCGAGGACGGCGTCCGGCGGAGAAGGCTCGTCGGCGACTTCCGCCAGAAGTGCCGCGGCGCCGTCGACGCCGCCCGGGCCGCCGGCGGGCCGCGGGCCGCGGCCTTCGTGTGCGCCTGCGCCGCGGCGGCGCTCCTGGCGCTTGTGAGGGAAAATCTCGCGGACGCGGACGGCGGGTTCGTGCGCGCGGCCAAGGCGGCGCACGACGCCGCGGGCGGGGACGCGCCCGGCGCGCACGAGGCGGCGTTGGACTGCTGCGGCGTGCTCGCCGACCTGAGCGCGCGGCCCGACGCGGCGCGGGAGGGCGCCGCGTGGCTCGCGGACTTGGTTCAAGCCGCGGCGAAGCGGGGGCGTCGCCGCGCGGCCGACGCGGCGGCGCGGCGCCTCGCGGCGGCGCTCGCCGGCGGCGCGCTCGCCGGCGACCACCGGCGGCTGGCGGCCTGCGTCGTCGCGGCGGCGTCCGCGGCGGCGATCGCGCCCGACGGCGCCGCGCGCGCGGCCGCGGCCGCGCTGGCGCCGATCGTCGACGCGGTCGCCGCGGCGGCCGCGGGCGAGCGCGTCGCGGACCCGGCCGCGGCCGTGGACTGGGACGACGTCGACGTCGACGCGGTCCTGGCGTCGAACGCGGCCCGGGACAGGCGCCGCGGCGCCGCGCGCGCGCTCGTCCGCGCGGGCGCCGTCGCCGCGGCCGGCGACGCCGCGGCGGCCTTTGGGGCCGCGGAGCCGTGCCGCGCGGTCGTCGACGCGCTCCTCCACGCGGGCCTCGCGCTCTGGGCGGCGCGCGACGACGACCTCGGCGCCGCGGACGCCGCGCGGCGCGCGGCGGCCGCGCTCGCGGATTGCGCGCGCCGGCTCGGCGCGGAGGCCGCCGCGACGCTCGCGGTCGCGCGCGACGAGCACCCCTGGGCCCGGGGGCTCCTCCCGGGGGCGTAAGGGTGTTTTTCTGTGTTTGGGGTGGTTTGAGTCGGTCGGGATAGGTGCGCGTGTGCGGCACCAAACGTTTGTTAGACGCCAACACCTTCATCGAGCAGCTGTACTAGTAGTAAGGCCTAGTAGATGAAGCGGGCGTACTGCTCCAGGTAGTGGAGGACTTGCGCGGCGGGCGCATACCACGCGTCGCCGCCCCGCGGCCGCTTCTCGTAATCTCGACAAAAGTTGCCAGAAAAGACAACAGAGAAGTCGTGATCTTTGTAGTCGTATTGGATGTCTGCCTGGAATTCTGCGTCCATTTCCGACTCGATGACGTCCTGCTCTGAACTATAAAAGCCGATCACGGGGCCCTCTCTGTACGGATGACTCTCTGCTGGGTCGACAGTTGCGCGCGCGACCAAGCACGCAGTCGCCGATTGCTGTTTGCTGAAACACAGCAGCCGGACGGCGAACTCATCTAACGCTGCCGGACGAGTGTGGACGTCTTCAGGAACAATGCTAGCCCAGTCGTCGAGGCAGCTCAACATAGGATCGTGATGCATATCGACATGCGAAGAGAAGAGTTCGAGAAACGAACAGAGGTGAGGATTACGCTGCTCCAAGAGACACGTTGCGAGGACTCGCGGCTTGCCGCGAGCGCTGTTGTCGAGCAGCTCGAGGCTCCATACGTAGTCCTCGATGCCTGTCGTGGGCGCAACCCGCGGCGGCAGGTAGTCCCCGCGGCACGAGAATCGTCGATAGAAGGCCTTGAAATCTATCGGTGTCCGCATGAACGGAAGCTGGTAGACCGCTGCCGTGCCCTCCAGCGCAGCGCGAAAGAGCCCACTTGCCACACTGCTGGTGGACAGCATCTTGCAAACAGATGCGATCTTGGGGTAGCTCGGGATCGAGCCGCACTCGACGATGAGCCGCCAGACGTCCAAAGAAAGGTTCGGCCTGCGTCGCACTGTCTCCGCCATGTCGGCAGCAGCCCGCAATTCATAAAGGTCAACGAGGCATCAAGAGCCAGCCTTGACACGAGCTGCCACAAATCAGCGTCGTGCCGCGGCCGTGCCATCTGTGTGGCCAGCTGACCAGCCGAAGGGATCTGCTCGACGCGTCTGCCGCCGCGAGCGACCTTTGTCGCGCACCGCCGCGCCGGCGCCGGCGCGCATGGGCCGCCGGGACCGGGAGCGCGGCCGCTGGCAGCAGCTCGTCCTCTTCGTGGGCAGCTACGCCGCGTACCGCGTCGCCGTCCTCGCGAACGTCGGCTGCCCGCCGGCGCCGCTCGACGTCGCGACGGCGCGGGACGCGCTCTGCTGGCTCTTCGCCGTCGCCGTCACGACCGTCGTCGCCGCGACGGCGAAGAGTAGCTTCGGCGCCGCGGACCGGCGAAAGGCGCGAAGAGCGCCCGCGGATCCCGGGCCGCCGCGGAGGCCGCTCGTGAGTCTTCCGAGAGAGCTCTGGGGCGAGGTCTGCGACGCGCTGGACGCGCGGGACGTCGCGACCCTGGCCTGCTGCGACGGCGCGCGGCGCGCGGCCGCGGACGGCCCGAGCACGTGGCGGCGGCTCTTCGACCGCGACTGGGGGCCGACGCTCAAACAGACCCAGCGGCTTTCGCTGGCGTACACGCCCCGCGGCCCCGGCTGGGTGCCACCGGTGGGCTACAAGGCCTTCTACTCCGCGTTCGCGTGCACGTGGGTCGAGCGGGCTGTGGTGGGCGCGAACGTCGAGGGGTCGCGCGTGCTCGTGGGCATCCACGGCGCGGTCTACGACATCACGGCCTTCGCGCCGCAGCACCCGGGGTCGCTGGACACCGTTTTGGACTTCGCGGGCACGGACGCGACGACGTTTTTCGAGGACGTCGGCCACTCGTCCGTCGCGCGGAAGATCATGCGGCCCATGAAGGTCCTGGGCCCCGGGGCCGCGGCCGGGTGCCTCGCGCGCGTGAAGGTTTTGTTGGCGGCGGAGCGGGCGGCCCTCGCGCGGCGCCACCCGTCGAAGCTCTGCCCGACGTGCCACGAGCCCGTGCACTTTTACGACGCCGCGCTCTTCTACGACGCGGTCCGCGCGCACTGGGCGCTCTGGTGGCCCTGCTGCGGCGAGAGAGCTGTGGACGCCGTGCCGCCCCACGAGGGGGGGGTGCTGGACTGGCGCGCGCTCCTCTGGCGGCGGCCCGCCGAGGACGACGCGGCCGAGCCTGAGGGGGGGATAAGGTGATTTTGTTGCACGTTTGGTCGGGGTTCTTACGCGAAGACGGATGTTCGCCAGGACCTAGATGCAATCCCGCAGTTCTGCGCGACGATCCGACCATAGTAGGCACCACGCTCCGCGCTCGCGCGCGGAGTCGCGGAGCATCGTGAGCTCCTCCACCCATTGCCGCGCCAATGCGAGCTCGAGGTTGTAAAAGGCACCACCGAATCTCTGCAGAACCTGGAGCGATGGGAGCCTGAGGCGCACATCTATGCACCGCCGCGCGCAACCGAGCACACGTGTCGCGCGCGGCGGGCCGTCGGCGTCGCGACGGCGGACGTGTCCGCCCGCAAGCCGGGGCAGGTTCGCGCGAAGAAGCAGTCTTTTTCCAAACTCTACGCGCTCGCCGTCACGCTTCCGGACCGCGAAGGCGCGCGCGTTCGTCAGCGGGAAGTGCGA